CCTTACTCATGAAAAGTTCAGAGTCCTTCCATCCCCAAAAGACTTTTATACAAGGCAGCAGTCCTGCTACTCACTTCAGTGACTCCATGGCTTAGCCATGTGACTCCAACCATTTGTTTTTACCTTGATGTCATCTAAACACTCCATAAACATTTAACGCTATGGCCAAGCACACGTGCACCAATTAATTCTCTGTCTGATCACTGCTTCCATTTCATCATGCGGGGAAGGTGACCTGTCAAGTCTGCAGTGCAGCCCTCTTAATGGATGATGTAATGGAAGCAAGGCACACCAGCCTTCTCATGTGACTTGAATCAATCCGTCTCTTTCCCTCCACTTGAATCAATCCGTCTCTTTCCCTCCATTCATTGCTGGCATCTCAACTCCCGCAAGTGAAATCAGATTTTCCATGTTTGGACCAAATTTCTCAAATTTCCTACTGGCAGGGGGTAAAGTTCTAATTAGTTTACGTGTACCAGCTAATTAGGTAAGAGGTTATTTTGCTAAGAATCTCATGCAAGCCTTAACCTGGGGTCAATTTGACTGTATTTGAATCAGAAGCTGCATATTCATGTCCCTGCTCTAGTGACAAAATGACAGGACAATCAGTTTAGAAAAAAGAGAAACAAATGGAAATTATGATTTTTCCTATGATTCAAACCAACTTCAGGCAAAATTGTGCAGAGGCCAGGTTGGTCCCAGGTCACACTAGTCTACACTCCCGTGGATTTTCTCTTACCTAGAAAGTCCTCTCTCGCTTTTTTTTGTCTCTGAAGTTTCTCTTAGAAAATGAACTGATAAACTTATTCATCCTAAGGGATAAATGACTATTTCTCATGGAGATATCCTTACTTCATAATGGGATAAATCATTTCACCAAATGGATACATTTTTAATCTGTGATTCAGATTTGAGCCACATTAATAAAACAAAACTAGTTTCTAGGTAATTGTTTGTGAATTTCATGTATTTTCATATTATCATTTTCTATATGAAAGACAATAAGAACATTCTACTTACTTTCTTACACAGGAAACCTTTGGACAAATGTTTTTAGAGCAGCTCTGAAATGACTTCACTGACCATGGATTTCATTAATTTGGTCCATGTCCTTATTAAGAACTAATTAATTACACATGCACACAGTTGTCTAAACAACCACAGACCATCAGTTCCGGAGGTGTTATTCATGTTCATCTGGCTCTATTTTCCTATCTCAGAGAGGAAGAAACTGATACCCATAAAAGCAAACTTGACAGACCCCAGAATGCTGCTGGTTAGTGGCCAAACAGGGATTAGAACCCAGGTTGGCCAATTAACAACTAAAATAAGGAGACGGACTATGCCAGTCTCTCCTTAGGGCACAGAGAAGGAGGCTCCATGTACACAGAAGTAGTGAGCTAAAGGAGAGAGCTGGATTCCACAGGGGAGTTTGATGCCTTAAACAGTTCAGAAGATTACTCTGTATGTATCCTTTGTAGAAGTCTGACCCTGGTACTAAGCATCTAATACTAAAAAAGGAAGTGAAGCATATATTTAAAACTTGTGTTGCATTGGGTTCCATCCAATGTTCAAAGGAGCAGTGGTGCTGTGTTTATTCTGTCCAAGAGGGCAAGCATCACGGATGACCACTGTGTTTTTCTAGTGCAAATAGAAGTAAAGCCCCAGGGACACAAAGCTGATCTTGGGTCTCCAGGATTTAACAGAAACACGATGAAGATTTCCAGAAACACATAGTAATTTACCTTCTTTGCAAGAAATATTCCTTTTACTGGCTTCAAAGTTTGGTGGCTACTGAAAGAACAGAGGTGGGTAGACTTCTTTCACATAACTTTTATGTAGATTGGTCTTCACTGTTTCGAAGTATTATCCCATGTTCTCTTGTTGGAGTATAAAAGAAAGCAACACATACTGAAGCTGTTCAGATGAGCTCTTTACTCCAAAATGGGGTAAAGGATCGAGACCTCTACCTCTTCATAAAATCTCCTGCATGATTAAACTTGTAGCAGGCCCACATGGTTCTAGCGTATTTGTCTGATCGGTAACCATTTACTGTGTTATTCAGGATCATATTTTCTGTAACTGTGATTGGCTTTACGTGCAGTGAAACATCTAAGTCCTGTTTCCCTATTTCCTGGACTGGTTCACACTTTCGTAGCCTTTGTGGGGAAGCCTAATTCTTTAAGTTTCAGAATTTCTGGTGTTAAAAAAAGCTGCAATGTCCCCATCTAAGCTATATCAAATGATTATTCTATATTAATAATCATTTTAGGAAGGCAGAAACATTTTAAAGGTTAATATTAAAATAGAAATAATAAGAGCTAACACTGATACCTGAGTCAGCCAAGGCCCCCATGCATAATTACGTTTGAGATTTAAACTCTTGCACTGGAAAGCAGTGAGGGTCTTTGTCTGGTTGGAGTTAATGATGTGGGTTAAGGGCGCCAGGGCTCCTGGCAGTTCCTTGTACATAGGGTGACAATTGTTATTAGCAGAAGTGATTTGCAGAAACTTCTCTCCCCCATTGGAAGAATAGAGAACGGATGTGGGAGGGGAGTGGGTCCCAAGGACTGAGTTCTGGAATTCATTCTCCTTAAAAATAGGTCAATTCTATTTTTCCTAGGAAGTCCCCTGGGCAAAGACCCCATCTCCTGCACTCTTTCGAATATAAATTGACCCTGACAGTAAAACAGCTTCTAACTTTTGCAACTCCCCTTGGGGAAGGGCTTTAAATACATTTCACCCTGCAAGTTTAGAAATGACCTTGGTGCTCTGGGGAGCTTGGGCTCAAGGTTGTAACCTCTCTTGGGCCCTGGGGCTTAGAAATCCAGGGACCAAAAGACCCCAGAAAGTAGGCTCACTGGCCTGCATTACCTTTGCTGAGAAGGTTGAAAGTAAACACTTTCTTACTTCCCACAGAAGCAATGCTTTTCTTTCCCTGGGCCTAGTGTCTCACATACATGATGATATCCAGACAGTGCTAACCTCTGGACTCCATGAAAAGCCTTTTAACTAATCATTCCGCCCTCAATAGTCAAGTTGTCCAGAAGACGCAGATTGAACTGATCTGAATAACTTTGGCTTTTTGGTTTCTTTTGAAAATATTTTTTTTGGTCTCTGTGGAAAATGAACTCTTTTAAATAGGTTTTCCTTTATTGTTGAGAATTATGGGAATGGGAAAGAAAAAGAACTAAATTGTACTGGTGAAGGAACATGTTAAGAATCTCAGAAACAAGACTGTATTGTTGAAAAATATTGCTTAATAAATGCAAATTGTCTTCTTATAATAAAAACTTGCCTCATTCCACACTTTGCAGTTGTGGTTATAACACTATGTTCAAATTTGATTATTTACAGAATCAAAGGACACATGTCCAATTCAGATTGGACAAAGGCCCTTCTGTTTGTGTTTTTAAACCAGATCAAAGGGGCCCCTTGTTTAAAACAATGACTAATGCTCAGCTTGTGTCCAGACACTAGCGACCCAGCCTCTTGGGAAAAGAGAGAGAGATGCTCTTGAAACCTTTTGGTCTGTTTTTCAGACTTTCTTCCAGATAAAAGGAGGCTCACTTATGAGGTTCTCGCAGCCCTGTATGGCTAGGGTTGTTCTCCAGGGCTGGTTCACAGGGGACCTTGGGTGGTTGAGAAAACGTTCCACTCTCCTGAGCTTACCCCTTTTGTTTGGTTGGCCTGGGTCTATATGTAGAAGAGAATCTGCGTAGGTATAAAGGCTATGAGAAATGCTAAAATGTTTATTTAAAAAAATCACCAACACGGGTATCCTACGAATTCCATTAAGTCCCTTTATGTACTAATCAAGTTGAAAGCCATAACCCTTGCCTTGAACATCTTAACATCTAAATATGCTATACTGGCAGAGTCAAAGTCAAAACGTAAAAACTCCAGAAACCTACAAAATGACGTTATCCGTGTGACAATCATGGATGATTGATGAATTTCAGTGAAAGTCATAGTAAAAGTCTAATTGACATATCTAGTTTGGGAATTTGTGGATATTAGGGAAGGAGATTTATTTCCCTCTATTACATCCTCTAGTAGAAATATTGAAAAGGAGATTCTGGGATCCATCACTAGGCCCATTGGGTACACAGGATTCATTCACTTATTTATTTGATAATATTGATTGAGTTCTTGCTATGTGCCAGGTGCTGTCCTAGGGACTTGTGAACCAAACAAGATTCCCTGTTCTCGTGGCACTTATTCTAGTGAATATTGTGGGCCAGATAGTAAAATAAATATGTAAGTTATATAGTATGTTGGAAGAGGATAAGCACCATGAAAAAACAAAGTACGGAAATGGGAATGGGGAGTGTAACAGCATGGGGGCTGAGTATGCCAGGGCAGCCCTCATTGAGAGGGTGACAGCTGGGCAAAGACTTGAAAGAGGAGGGGAAATTAGCCGTGCAGATATCCAGGGGAAAGGCATTTCAGGAAGGAGGAACAGCCAGTGCAAATGTCCTCCAGTGGGAGCATACTGGGTGTTAGAGGGACATAAAGGGAATAAGTGTAGGTGATAAGGTTGGAGATAAAGGGGGAGCAGACTGTGAAGGGCTTTGGAGCCATGGCAATGATGTTGACCCCGAGGAACACTTCACTCTCAGTGAAATGGGGCATGACGTGATTTGACTCAGAGTTAACGTGATTACTCTGGCTGGTTTTGAGAACAGATTGTACGGGGCAAGGGTGGAAGCAACAAAGCCAGTAAGGAACCTATAGCAGTTGTCAGGGAGATCGATGATGGAGGCTGGGACCATGGTGAGGGCAATAGAGGTGGTGATCAAGAGTTAGATTCTCCGCATTTTGAAGGTAGAGACATGAGAAATTCCTGTGTGAATGGATGTGTGGAATTAGCCGAGTTGGATCTAGGATTTTAAGGGACCAGAGGTTATACAATTTGAGGGCAGAGGCTGGCATGATGCTCACCCATCCACGTGTCCCTCTTGAGTACACAGGACTTCATTTTCCAATCTTCCTTGCAGTGATTTTGGACCATGTGACTGTGTTACGGCCAATGAGAATGTGAAAGGAAGAGATGTGCTACTTCCTGTCTGAGGCAGTTGAGCAGGTGAGTGCTCTTCACACTCTCTCTTGCCTGTGTAGCTGGAAGTGGAGGACTGTAAGGTGCTAGAATTATAAAATGCAAGCAGCCTGAACTGCTGAGTCACCACTGGGACAGTAAAGCATCACAGAAAGTCACCAGAGCCGTGTCAGACTGTGACGTGAACCAGAAATAAACTTTTATTAGTAAGCACTTGAAATTCAGGGATTTATGATTTATTGCAGTATAGTAATGCCTTCTTTAGTAGTAACAAGTCCAAATCTGTGAAGATGTGAACACAATCTAACAAGGAGAAAATGTATACGTATGTGTGTGTGTATATACATAGATCTCCATGACCCTTGCTTTGTTGTTCATGGTTAACAAGAGGAAACAACTTTGACCCTAGCAATCTAGTGTCCCACACATACTTCCTGATTGAATCCTAGAGGGCATGAAAAAGGAAATATTGAAATCAGAAGAACAAAGATATTTTATAATTCCCTAAAGGCTATATACAAAGGTCGACCTAAAGAGCTCAAACCTTTTGAGGTACAATTTTTTCTAAGTTGCAGCATGTAGGTATAGGATCAGTACTGAGAGGAAGCAAAACATTGGGCTTGAGTGCAGGCAGGCAGGGAGGTACTAGTAACTCTGAGCAAGTATGTTGGCCACCCCAAGAAATGGAGGCATCTGAATGGCTTGGAACCCCGATTCTGCCATGCTCAGAGCTACCTGTGCAAGATAGTGGCCATAGGTGAGTCCTTACATGTAAATCACAATGTAGGTTCCACAGGACTCCACAGTTCAGATGGGTACAGCTAACTGGTTCATGGAAGGGTCACATGATCTAAAGGTGTTACAGCACAAAGAGCATGAGCTTTGGAATCGGATCATCTGGGTAATTCACCAACTAGCTCAAAGTCTTGGTTTCATTTTCTGTAGAAAGGGGCTAATACTTAGCACGTTACATGGTCCATGGTACAAGATCAAAAACTTACAGCTATTGCTATTATCATCATCTTTTTCATCATTATTGTCACTTTTCATGTGCCAAAAGCTGGAAGTATTGATGTGAGAGATGGTCCCCATGGACTCTTTGATAAGCAAATTGTAGTAATGCTAGAGAACTAGCACAAGAGTATTGATGAATAAACTCCTATGCTAATCACCCTGTGGTTGATGGCTAGAGCATAACTGGTTAATGTGCGGACTCTGTTTCAGTCCTTACAAGGTCTAGCTTCTTGGTTGTGGTGAAGTTCCTTGAGTTCTAGCTGAGGTTTCTATCCTTCTCATTTCCATATGTAAGTCTGCGGTATCCTCTCCCCCTGTTATGTGCTTAACCTCAAGGGAATCCCTGAGCTGACCTGTTCACCAGAGCTTTGGGGCTATAGAGAATCCCCTTTACTGTTCCAGAGTTGTTTCCTCACATATAAAATTAGAGCATTGTTCTAAGTACCTATTCCATTGGCACTGGCTGATATGACAGACATGTCCTGCGAGAGAGACAAAACCTTATAAACACGGCAGGGGGTGTATCTGGGTTGGATGCCACCACATTTACAGAGCAGGCATCATCAGTCCTCAGGAATAGCATAGCCAAGAAGCCGCCTGATAACATGCATTAGCCATGGTGACAAAGAGGCCAATTTATGACTGGAATTAAGTTAGTCTTTCTGTGATCCTCAAAACGGTCCACTCTCAGGAGTTATCTCTAAAGCCTAGTTCTTGGCTTGCAAGGAAATCTAACTTGTCTTATAAGCCCATGGAGCAGGATGTCTCCTGAATATTTTAGCCTACGATCTGTCATAGAGATCACAACTTCACCGGGAGAAAATCACCCCTTTCTTTTGGGTGTCTTTCCAGCCTTTAAGAGATCCTTTATAAGAACTCAGCAGAGAAGAGTAAAATGATTACCAGAATGGCACTGGTGTAACAGGAAAGGAAAGACACTTGAGGGAGTCAGATGGTTTAAGGCATTCGTATTTGCTATTATGTAACTAGCAACTTCCTCTGGATAATATTTTCCATTTGCTCCAAAGTCGCTCCTGTTGACCAAAGCAGAGTCATGCTACTTAAAGTTGCAGTAAATCATGGATTGCTAAGAAACACAGCTGGTCAGCCTCTTTCCCTTCCTGAAGCTACCATTTGATACCTGGCTGATCTAGCTTCTCTGCCTCAGGTCTTTTGGACTGAGTCATTTCCATGGCTACTGATTTGCCAGGATTCCAGAGTCAAGTCCATTACTCCTAGGGTCATATGGATGGAATATAATCTGCGTGGCCTTAAATGGGGCTCAGTTTTAGGCAGTGGAGGCATTTTAAAAAATAATAAAATAATAAAAGATGAATAGAAATATAAAATATGAAAATGATAAGATTATCTATTGTTAGACTAGAATAAGATAATGAAATATTACACAGTAGTGACAAATATTAACTGTTTCTTCTGAGATGGTCTTATCTTGGTATGCAGGGTCATCCTTAGGTATTTAGGAAGCTAATCTTGCAATTCTTTGACTTCCACTTACGATCTACAGCACAGTCAATAAACTTTTTCTATGTGCCTCTGTCTCCCTACTTCTCCCAGTTTTCAGTTGAATTATTTCTACTTTGTCAAAACATATAACATTTACATAAAATTCTTCCACTCTTCCTCCACCTTTGTTTTATTCTCAGCTCTATTCAATATATTTTGTTCTCATCACCAGACTTTTTGCCAGTTTCTCCAGTCATCTCTTGGTTTAAATCCTTTAGTAGATTTTTCAGGAAGGACCTATGAGTGCAGTATTCTCTGAGTTCTTGCAGATTAAAACAGTTTTTCTATAACCTTGGTACTTGAAGGAAAGCTTGAGTGGATTTAAGATCATTGAGCTTATGCTTTACCATCTTGAGTTTTTCAAAAATGTTGCTGCAGTGTTGTCTTGCATCCATGTTGCTGCCAAGAAGTCTGAGACTCACCTGATTTCTTCCCTTTGTAAGTGAGGTGGCCTTTTATGAATGAAGATTATTTTTAATAAAAAATCTAAATTTTGTTTAACAAAGTTTAAACGCTTTACTAAAATACATTTTGTAGTTGACAGAAATGAATACATTGTAGGCATTTTCAGTATGAAGATTCAATTCTATTATTTTTAGAAAGCTGCTTTGGATTGCAGTTCCCAGAATGCTCAAATTAAATGTATGTTGCATCTTCTTTGTAATTTTATTTCTCATGTTTTTTATATCTCTTTATGTGTTTTCTCAGCGATCCCTCTCTTCAATGTCTCCAATCACATTTTTATCCAAACCTCTTTTCCTTTGGGCACCTTGTAATTTAGTGTTCATTTCTGAGATGATTTAAAAAATTCAATTACTTTACTGAGTTTGATCAACTCTTTTTTCTCATCTTTGTGGTTTTTTTTTTTTTTTTTTGGGTACGCTGGCCTCTCCCTTTTGTGGCCTCTCCCGTTGTGGAGCACAGGCTCCGGACGCACAGGCTCAGCAGCCATGGCTCACGGGCCTAGCCGCTCTGTGGCATGTGGGATCCTCCCGGACCGGGGCCCGAACCCGTGTCCCCTGCATCGGCAGGCGGACTCTCAACCACTGCGCCACCAGGGAAGCCCCTTTGTGGGTTTTTTGTTGTTTATTTCTTCACTGAGTTTTGAATCTCTGTTTTGAGATATTCCTTCATTAAATAGATCATTAAACAAATTGTTGTATAATAATACTTAATTCTTATTGGGATGCAGTGTTAAATTTCTTATAGTTTTTCTTGGGTCAGCAATTATAGGTGTTTACTGTAGGCAAGGGAGAGGAAACTGGGTGGCTTACTAAGTTTCTTGGTCTAAAAGTCTGTTGGTACAGTAAAATGATATTTCTTTAGTAAATGATGGCTTTTGGGTGAGGGGGTGGGAAATTCAGTGTGTTTCCTTGTTTTTACTTTCTTTTACATCAGTTGCCTTTTTCTTATCCTTCACCACCATGTCCCTAAGCATTACCACCCCTTCCAAATATCCTCCTCTCCCGGAATCTGTGCCTTTCCAAGACTGCTGTCTCTGGTCAAACATACCTGCAAGCACCTTCCTTTCAGATCCTTAGTGGTCATGACTCTGTTTTACCACCACTGATCAGAAATGCTTTACTATTTTTCCACTCAGTGTGGACTCTTTGGGGGGTGATTGTGTCTATATTCTGCCATTGACAGGCTCTTATCTCCCTGTTGTGGACTGAATGTTTGTGTCCTCCCCAAATTCATATGTGGGAAGTCCTAAGCCATGATGTGATGGTATTAGGAGGTGGAGACTTTGGGAGGTGCTTAGGTCGTGAGGGTGGAGCTCTCATGAATGGGATGAGTGCCCTATTAAAAGTGACAGTGGAGAGCTCCCTTGCCCCTTCAACCGTGTAAGAACACAAGGAGCAGACAGCCATCTTTAAACATGAAGCAGGCCCACACCGGACAAAGAATCTGCTGGCACCTTGATCTTGGACTTCTCAGCCTCCAGAACTGTGGGAAACAAATTTCCGTTGTTCATAAGCCACCCAGTCTATGGTATTTTGTTACAGCAGCCCGAATGGACTGAGACACTCCCTTTCCTGATTTCTGCCATCCGTCCCTGCCTGACTCTCCACTCCACTGTGGGCTTCAGAAACTAGCTCATATGGTCCAGAATGTTTATTTGCCCATTTCCATAAAAGTAAAGTTTGTAGTAGTCTTGGTCTTGTGTAAGTATAGGCAAAGGAGTAAGTATAGGTAACTTGATTTGTCTCCTTTTTGAACTCTATGATTTTGTAGTGTTGTTAGATTTGGCTTTAGAGGGCTTCCATTATCCCATGAGCCTTGAGAGGGCTTCCACTATCCCGAGAATAGCCTTGGTTCTAGAGGCCTTATTAAAAAGGGAGATGGCATAGAGAGGTGGATACTTTTATTTAGTGCCTGCTATGTCTGTCGTTTATTAACCACTTCCCAAGTGTGAGTGAGGTCTGGTCCATGATGTATGTTTATTAAACTGTGATGAATTACAGTGCAGCAGGCACTTAATATATTAA